GCAATAAGAATGCAAAAATTAAAAAGGTATTTGAAGGAAGAAATACTTAGCTTATACTTCCAAGTTCTCAGGAAATTACTTATATAATAATCATACTAATAATAACTATACCTACTTGCAGGTTTATATTTCCTAAGGAAGTAGGTTACTTCTAGAAGTCTGCACCAAGATATGCAGCTTTAAGGAACCCGGAACCATCAGCAGAATGTCAAGAACAGGATACTGTTACCTGTGACGTATACAATGCAACAAAATGCAATGCACTGCCCTCGAGTCGGATCCGACTCATAGTGACCTCTCCTTGGGTTTCCAAGGCGTTATCACTACAGAAGTAGAATTGCCCAATCTTCCTTCCAAGGAGTGCTGGTGGGTCTGAACCGCCAGCCTTCTGGTTAGCAGTCCAATGCCTGAGGCACTACTTCAAAATTATTTGGAAGGTGTAAATAACCATATCATAAAGAGAGCGCAAAAAGGAGATTATTTCAACTTCAACCACTAAAGATGAAATTTACGAAGCAAGAAATATTTGACCAGGTATGACAGTGTGGGATCCTAACCTTGCTTTTATAGTCGTCAACATTGCATAGTCAAGAATGAATATATATATATATTTAAAGAAAAGAATCTGACAGAGAATTACTGCTTATTTCTTTAGTAAGCTGAGACCAAGGTGCTATTTAGATACTTCACCAACTTATTTTTTCTTTATAAAGCCTTGGAAGAAAGATGTTAAAACATGCTACCATCATAACTGTCTTAAAGGTAGCAAAACTACCCATAATCATCATCATGAAGGACCAATTCTACTGCTAGTAAAATTCCAGTCAAGATTCTTCCATTTAGCTCTCAATCACTATTAAGATGACACAAAAAAAGAAGAGAGCCAGTATTAATGGTGAAGAGACCCTGGAGTCAAGTAAACCCAAGTTTGAATATGGTCTCTACCACTTACTAGCTGTGTGAACTTGGGTAAGCTAGCTAACTTCTCTAATCCTCAGTTCTTCTATTCAGTAAAATGGGAATAATAAATAACACTTACCTCAGAGGGTGTTTGGAGGATTAAATCAGATAACGAATATAAAGCCTTTAAACACAATACAGATAGTTTCCAGGTTACTAACAAGGTCTGTTTCTAGCCATGTCTTTAAGTGGAACTTGTAGGTGAATAGGAACAAATGCATACGGTTCTTACTTAGCCTTTAGTGTAAGAAGAGACTTGAAGCCTTTTCAATGATTTAAAAGCTGCACGTGCAGCAGTGAAGGTGATTGTGATGAATTTGTTGCAAGTAGGGGTTGGTTCAATCATTTCAAAGCCAGGACCAATTTACGTAACAATAAAGGACAAGTAGGAGTTGTTCACAAGTTGGCAGGGACTGCCTGTACTTGGCATGTTATCAAAAGCTGTTAGCTGTTAGGGATGATGACAGTTTTACTATGAACAGTTTCAAAACCCATATGTATCATTCATAAGCCTTAAGAACTTCATCCATCAGCTGTTTAGAAAGTATTACTAATTCAACAACATTTTAAGGCTTCACAAACAGTTGTCTGTATCATAGCAATTTTCCTGTCATGAATGAAGTTACAGTCAATCAGAAAGAGACGTAAAAGCTGGTTAAACTCTTTCTACTCAAGAGATTAACTATTCATCTAATGTTATATAAATTATAGGCAGATCATCCTCTTGTGGTACATGTAAAAAACAGTATAAGTAGATGATTCTAGGAAAGACTTAGACAACATGTAAATGCCTTACTTTTTGTTTTGTTGTTCGCTGTTTGCCATCGAGTCAGCCCTGACTCATAGCAACCCCTCCTTGGGTTTCCGAGGCAGTATCACTACGGAAGTAGGATTGCCCAACCTTCCTTCCGAGGAGTGGCTGGTGGGTTTGAACCGCCAGCCTTCTGGTGAGCAGTCAAGTGCCTTAGGCACTATGCTACCAGAGCTCCTAAATGCCTTACTATAAATTTTTAATTAGAAATAACCAGCTGAATGCTGTCATGTAATTTTACTTAGATAGTCCATCATTAAACTAACCAAGACAGAGAATTAAACTGAAACAGCTTAACTGACCTTTGAGAGAAAAGATGTGGCAGAAAAAGTACATCAAGCTCCACTAAACGCAGTTATTTGTTCTCTAAACTCTAAACTCTGTGCAGTGTGAACTTATTAGAGACATAACATCCTAAGGCTGACTAATATGTATTTGTCAGTATTGTTTATAAATACTCTCCAGAAGATCAGCAAAGTCCTGAAATACAACCTGCCTTCCTCAAGCCAGCCACCCTTGGATCACATCTCACAAAGAAATGATGATAGAATAGTCAACCAATGGCTACACACTGAAAGAAAGGTAATATAATAGCAAGCAGGAAGCAGTTGTTTCTTTTCCCCCTTGAGACAGTTCAGACAATAGCATTCTAAGCAGTAACAGATACTTCTGAGTGGTCACTTTTAAAAAGACAAACTTCAGGACAGAAATGATGACCTTGATTTAACCTTTTCTGCTATGGTAACTGTGGTGCAATGGATTTCTCATATATATGGCCTTTCTGGCCTTGGACTTAATAGTTTTGCTAAAGCCACTCCTGGGAAAGAAGGTTGGGCAATCTACTTCTGTAGTGATACCGCCTCGGAAACCCAAGGAGGGGTCGCTATGAGTCGGGTCCAACTCTACGGCACACAACAACAACAACAGCAACTGGCTGGGCTACAGCCCGCCTTGTCACTGGTCTATTTTATGCACCTTACAAGAATTGGTCTGTCTACTTTGTGAACAGGGTGTGTAAAACCACCAATGAGATTAAGTGACCTTGCAGGAATTTGATTACCATGCAAATTAAGTGACTGTGGCCTACAAGGGGATTGGTCAAGTTCATAGTCTGGTGGGAGGGCTATGACTTGGAACTGACAAAAAGTAAACTTAAATAAGGGCCAACTCCAGACTTTAGGGGACTTTACTACCCTCAAGAGCCTTGAGCAGATTATGTCCTTTGGATTCAGGACTCCTGTGCTGAGAAACTCCTAGGCACAGGAGAGAGCTGTATCACTGAAGACAGCATAAAACAATGTAGCAGCACAAGTGTCAACACAACAAGCAACAGGAACCAGGAGACTGGCATGCAGCAGCTGCAGAAAACTTGATGAATGACGCCGAGAGAGATGAGCACTTCTGGGCCGTTGGCTTGTTGGCAGAGTAGGGTGCCTCCAGGCACTTGTTGGCAGAGGTAAAGAGCTGTAACACTTGCCTGAGCAGCACATGGCCAAGAGAATGTCCAGTGGCAGGCACAGCTGAGAAAGAAGGCCCAGTGGTGGGCATGGCCAAGAAGCAGCTGAAAGCTGTCTTGGTTGGAAGTTGTTCTGATCGAAGAACTGTGTCCTGTCTCCTGAGTTGTGTCCTGTTACTTCCAAGTTTATCCTGATCCCAAGCTGCAACCTGTTACTTCCCTAATAAACCACATAATGGTGAGTATGGTCTTTGAGTTCTGTGTGGCTATTGCAACGAATTATCAAACTCAGCAGAGAAGTAAAGAGGTGTGTGTCGTGTGCGTGGGGTAGTGGCTAGTGTCAGAAATGGTCAAAAAGTTAGAGTGGAGGTGTGTCTGACTGACACCTCAAAGGAATTAGCTTTGTGATGATCTTTATTCTCATTCATCCTCCTGAATGCAGAAGAGATCTGACACTAGCAGACTGCAGTGACCCACACACAAAATAATTACTTGAATAGAATTTTAAAAAGAAAATTTAAAGCAATATTTGCAGATTATAGGATCTCCTATACTTGCTGATGTGTAGCTTTATAAATAGTTTATATGGTTGTGAATGTGTATATTCTGTGCCATTCCTATACCTCCCCCACTCAATTCCAACCAGATTAACATCAATTTCAAACCCTCCCTCATTCTCTCCTCCAAAAGCAAACACAATTCTCTATACAGAGTTGGCACTGAGTAAATATTGACCAATCAAATCAAGCAGGGTTTGCCAAGACCCAAAGGAGTTTTATCAGACCAGTGGGTCATGCTATTCTGTGCCTTGCACCATAGTGAATTCTTTGGGACCTTTTTGGTATTTGGCATTTCCTAGTCAAAAATCAGTCCATGTGCAAAATGGGACTCCCGTGGCTCAATGGTTTAATTGCTTGGCTGCTAACTCACCCATAGGTTTTGCGGTAGAAAGACCTGATGATCTGCTTTGTAAAGGTTATAACCTAGAAAACCCTTTAGGGCAGATCTGCTGTCACAAGAGATCAAGAAGCAGAATTGACTTGACAGCACTTAACAACCACTTTGCAAAAAGGAATTTTCTTAGGCCTGTAATACCTGTCCCCAAATAGTAAATAAAAGCAAAGGAGCTATCCTACATAGCCAGATAACTTGTACTTTATCCAGTGTTTGTGAGTACATGGAGCAATGGAAAGATGGAAGGAATTATGTATTATGTATCTGGAAATGGCAGAATTGCCTTCCCATACCAAAACCACACAGTTCAAACTATTAAGGTCATATTTCGTTGTCAGGAAAAAAAGCTCGTTTGCTTCTGGATTCTACTCCCAGAATACTAACCACCTTCCTACCACTGACAGGTATCTTGGGCGTGGGCTAGCACAGAACTATGGTTGGCTGGCATTAGTTCCTCTAGGCTCCAGTGTTGCTTTAGCTGTTACTCACTCAGCTTGAAAGATTTCTCAAGGTCCTCCTTATTTAGAGATGGAGAGAGGAATGAGTGACCCTCAGGGATACTGCATTTAAGTTGGAGCCTCTTTAATGCTCTTACGTACATACCTCTACTATAGCAAGATTACCTTAGTGATAGAACCCATTCTTGAGTCATCTTTGTAATCCCTACAACTGACACACACAAAGCTATAATAAATATCTATTAAATGAGTTTCTGGCATAGAAATTTTCCTAAACATTCTATATTCTCCTTTATCTCTCATCATACTCAAGTTCTTTGAATGGTTATTGCATATTAATTACCCCACCCAAATTTCCTACCTCCCAGTATTTGGTTCGGTTGATACCCTCTGCATATGCTCGGGCAAAGTTACTTTCGCTGTTGAGGGCTGTAATGGCTGCGCTGAGCTGAGACATGGGGTGTAGATTGGTAGGAAAGTTGTCCAGCATGGTGACCACATGGGAAGGCAGAGCTGCCCTCTTTGCCCACTCTTTTGAGAGCCAAGATACCTGTGGAGACACAGACAGTACTCAAAATACTAGCAAGAAAAGGAAGGAGAGAATGAAAAGGTCAGTGATAGCAGAGTAAAGAAACCCAAGAGTTCAGCTCAATTTGTTTACATAGCAGACCCTTTTCTGATTCCTTCCCCTCACTGAAAATTTCTGTAACTACTACCCACAGCCAGATCAGGATTAAGTGTCTGAGATTACAGAAAGGCAAAAGGATTAAGAAGAACTGATGTCCTTCTGCTTTACCTGTTCCTCTGTTGGAATCTGTCCAGTCATCAGCAGCCAAAACAAGCCCTCGGGCAGGGGTTCTTCCCCACCCTTAGCTTTGGGGAGAAGTTTCTGGCATTCAGGGATACTATAGCCTCGGAAACGAATGCCCTTGGGGGAGAAGAGTGAGAATTACAACTTCTTCCCCGCACCCCCGCCCTGGTCTTCCGATTCTTTTTTAATTTTTTTTTTTTTTTACTTTTTTATTTTTGTAGTGTTTCCTCCCCACCCCTCCTACCCCTGGTAACTAATAAAGTTTCCTTCCATAACAACTTTTTAAGTTTACTGGCCTGGAAGTCACATAATTGACTGGTCCCACTCAAAGAAGACCTTTCAATAAGTCAGAATAGAACTTTTAAAGCTTAAATCATCAGATAACTTATTTCTATTGTACTTTCATATAAAAAAGTTAACCTCTTCAGTGACATATTTTCTGCATATAATGTGGCCATGGATATAATGCATAGAGCATGCATAGGAAACTAATGCACGTAGGTTGCATGGTTTGCAAAAAAACAGGTAATGAGTTACTTGCATAAAAATAATTTTTCATTCATGATACCTATTCTCCACTTTTCCAAAATATGAAAGTGCTGTTTTTCTTACTGTCGTTGTCCTAATCCATACTGTATGCAAGTCAGTAAATACAATGATTACAGTGATTGATATGAAGCTATCTTACCTCATCAGGATCAAGAACTGATGTTTCGTATATCAAACCCTTCATGCCTCTCATGCCACCATACATCTGAAGAAAAGAAAGAGGATGTGACCAGCTGCCAAGTGTTATTTAGGCTAGAGTTTATCAGAGCTTCATGGGATTCGGGAGAGGAAATTTATTCTGATTTGTAAGACTTCATTTGGAGGAAGAAAAAAATTACTGAGGAGTTAAATTTATCATAAAATAAAACTCTGAAAACGAAAAAATTAAATCGAAAAGTCACTTTCTTTAAGGTTTATCTATGGAAGGAAATTTTCTTTGTTGGTTACCAAGGGTGTGAGGGTAGGGTAGGGAACACTGTTAGATTGATAGAGGTAAGTATTGATTTGGGTGAAGAGAAGGGCAATGTACCAAATGTGAGTGACCAACATGGTGGCACTGAGGAAGAGAAAGACATAGAGAGGTACATGGGAAGTACAGACAACAAAGATGAACCCTTTCGCACATACAGTACTGCGTTGTCAGTGAAGGCAAATATGGGTATACAGGTGGATAGATGGGTGGACAGATGGGTAGACAGGCTGAACTAGTAGGTATGTCTGTGAAGTGTGGAGTGTACCCAAGAACATGTATAGGGTTGGCAGATAATGGTCCTATAAGCTTATGTGTATGATCTGAATTCCCAGGTGTATAGTAGAGCTGACAGGAGGCAAGGTGGTAGTCACTGCTTGGTCACAAGCCAGCTCCCAGAGGGACTGAGTAGTTGAACCTGTGGGCTCGGGACCATAGTCGCTGGGGACATCAAGCGCAGTTGGCATAACACACTACACAAAACATTGTTCTACCTCCTACTTTGGCGAATAGTGACTGGGATCTTAAAAGCTTGCAAGTGGCCGTCTAGATGCAACGATGGGTCTCTCCTCATCCAGAGCAAAGAAGAATGAAGAAAACCAAAAATTCATGGATACAATCAGTCTTAGCAACTGGTACACCATCCAGTCTGCAGCCTATATGACTATGAGATGAGAAGAACTACATGGTGCCTGGTTACCAATGTCCACCACTTGGAAGGGGATCTCTGTAGGAGATCCTGGATAGAGAGGGAGAACAACGTGGACAAAACTCAAAATCATTTGGAGGAAAAAAAAAGGGGGGGACACACCAGGTTTGCTGGTCCGATAGAGCCTGGTAGAAGCACTGAGACTATGGCCCCTAGCTGCCCGTCAGGTCTGGAACTGAACCCACACCTGTGGCTGTCAGTCAAGCAAAAGACAGGCATATGAGTTGAACATTTACCTGAGGTAGATACACTCCATGGACAGAACAATCATGGTAGAAAGAAGGGCTGCTAATGCACCGGGAGATAGCTCAAGGGGCAGGAGGGCATGGAGGGATAGACACAGGGAAGAGGTAATTATCAGGAAGAAGTGGGAGGGGAGCTGTTGCATTGTGGTAAATTGTGGTCAATGTCATGAGACAAAGTGTATGTGAAGGGCTGTATGGAAAGTGAATTTGCTCTGTAAATTTTCACCCAAATCACAATAAAAAAAAAGTCACTTTCTTTAATGTTTCTGCCTGTTTGTTTCCTTTTCTTATTGTATTTTTTCTATTGCTTACCCTTACTGCCCCTTCTCATTCCCACCAACCAAAGTAAACAGAATGAGATTTACAAGGGGAAGAAATGGAGACCAATGGCTAAACACTTCTGTGGAACTTATCATGTGAGCCAGTCAGTCTCTTAAAACTAGGGCAAAAGTCATCCTAAATATGTTCTAAAGAGCCCTGCTGGCACAGTGGCTAAGCACACTTGGCAGCTAACTGAATGGTTTACCCACCAGCTGCTCCATGAGAAAAATACGTGGTAGTCTGCTTCCATAAAGATTACATACAGCCTAGGAAACCCTATAGGGCACTTCTACTCTGTTCTTATAGTGTTGCTAAGAGTCAGAATTGACTTGATGGCAATTTATTTATTTATATATTTAAATTATGATTTGGGTGAAAGTTTACAGAGCAAATTCATTTTCCATACAGCAGTTTACATACATTTTGTCTTATGACATTGACTACAATTTACCACAATGCAATAGCTCCCCTCCCACTTTTTCCCCATAGTTACCTCTTCCCTGTGCCCTTCCCTCCATGCACTCCTGCCCCGAGCTATGTCCCTGTACATACACATCCGTTCTATTCTCCCATGATTGTTCTCTCCAAGGACTATATCTACCTAGTGTAAATGTTCACCTCATATGCCTGTCTTTTGTTTGGGTGGAAGCCACAGGTGTGGGTTTAATTCCAGACTTGAAGGGCAGCTAGGGGCCACAGTTTTTATGTTTTATCAAGCTCTATCAGACCAGCAAACCTGGTCCTTTCCCCCGCCCCCCAAATGATTTTGAGTTTTGTTTCATATTGTTCTCCCACTCTATCCAGGATCTCCTACATAGATCCTCCTCCGAGTGGTTGACAGTGGTAGCCGGGCACCATCTAGTTCTTCTAGTCATATAGGCTCAGGATCGCATGGTGTACCAGTGACTTAGACTGATTGTGTCCATGAATCTTTGGATTTCTTCATTCTTCTTTGCTCTGGATGAGGAGAGGCCCATCATTGCATCTAGATGGCTGCTTGCAAGCTTATAAGGTCCCAGTTGCTACTCGCCAAAGTAGGAGGTGGAACAATGTTTTGTGTAGTGTGTTATGCAATTGAGCTCGATGTCCCCTGCAACTATGGTCCCGAGCCCACAGGTTCAACTACTTGCTCCCTCTGGGTAGCAAGAAGTGACTACAACCTTGTCCCTTGTCAGCTCTACTATATACCTGGGAATTCTTACAGAACATACAAATACACATTGTCTGCCAACCCTATACATGGTTTTGGGCACCCTCCTCCATGCAACAGTCAGTAAGTACAATACCTAATAGTTCAGCCTGTCCACCCATCTATCCACCCATATAGCCATGTTTGCCTTCACTGACAACGCAGTACTGTATGTGCAAAAGGGTTCATCTTTGTTGTCTGTACCTCCCATGTATCTCTCTATGCCTTCCTCTTCCTCAATGCCACCATGTTGATCACTCACATTTGGTACACTGACCTTCTCTTCAACCAAATAAATACTTTTCTCTACCTAACAGTGTTCCCTCCCAACCCTGGTAACCAACAAAGAAAATTTCTTTCCATATATTAACCTTTTCTTGGCTTTTTACAATAACAGACAAATATAATATATGTCCTTCTGTAACTGACTTATTTCACTCAGCATAATATATGACGGTAACTTTTTTTTTGCTGTTTGTTTCTTCCTTTGCAATATGTTCTAGAGGGCCTGCTAGGGCTGTGGTTTAAATAGACAGTGGGTAACATCAAATCAAGGACAGAATCCTGGCCCCAAAAGCTACAGGGCTGGGAACAGAAATAGAAACTTCCTTCATCCCTCCCCTCGATGAATTAGGTTAGGGTCAACTATTAAATTTGTAGGGAAAAAAAAACCCTAATCTCTAATGAACACCATAATCTCAGTATTTCCTCGTATAGAACAGAACACTTTTGAACAACTCATGAAAAGAAGGGTACTTTTGTTGAGGCACATTAGAGATACTTCTCCCAGACAAGACCTACCCCACAGCCCTTACCATGTCCACAGTGATTTGGCCCACCACTGTCTTGCCATGTTGCTGCCTGAAGGTCTTAATTCTGGCTTGCTCCTTAGGTATCATGTCAGCCAATATTTCTTTCAAATTCTAAGAGAAGTAGAAGGATCAGAAAGCAGATCAGATTTTCTATAAAGTAGGGATTATTAAAGCTTTCCTTCTTAGAATCTCACATTATCTGCCAAGGAAGTCTAGTCAATTACTCTGTACAGATGAGGGTTACAGAATTAAGCAAAAAACATTTGATATTCCCTTTTTTATTAAGCCAGTGAGTAAATTACTTCTTAAAACAGCAGTAGCAGCAATAATAATAGTTACAGTAACAACAATAATAATGGATACCTCCAGGAGATACTCAGGATGCTCACCTAAGATCTTTCCACATTCAGAAATTGCATAGTGGTGGGAAAAGGCAGTTTTTTGGTTTTATTGCCAGGATAATAGCAAGAGGCCAGGTGGTAGCCTAAGGTCAGGCTGCCTCAATGATTCTCAGCCCTCTTTTCCAATTCTTACCGTGGAAGAAGCACTGGCATGCCGGGCAGCAAGAACAAGACAGGATGCATTCTGCAAAGAAAATACAAAAACAGTTATGCAACAGTTTCTCCTCCTTACTGTACACTAACAGGAAAGAGTTTCATTGATTTCAGTGATACAACCTCTTTTCTCTTTATCTGAGCCTCTCAGGACAGTTGGACACAGAAAGGTATAAAAGACTCCAAACTGCTTAGGAGGAGTCACTAGCCTGGAAGCAGTAGCAGGTTTAACTCAGCTCCTAACATCCACAGCTACAGGAGCATTCTCTGAAGAGAGACTCTTTTCCACCATCAGCATTCCAGGTACGGCTTTGTTAGGCATAGAAAAAAGGTCAGAGAGGCAATTGTTAAGGAACCCAAATCTAGCTGTCAATATTCTGAGTCGTCCCAAGGAAAGTAAATGAGGAAACTGGCCAATTTACCCCTGCTGGTAAGAGCTGTCCTGTACCAAGTCTTTTGGCAGCACTTTAATCTCTCCAGTGTAGGAGAGTCCACAGGCAGCCTTTCACAATAATACTTCTAACTCTCTTGGAAAAAGCAGAGAAAGCAGATGCCTACTCAAATGCAACAACAGAAACTGGAGAACTGGAAAATTATCTTCAAAGTGCCTAGAAAAATTATGAAGCTTGAGTTAAGTATAGGGGTGAGGAGGATGACATGACACTTAAAATAAGTGTGAAATAAACACTTTTCAGATTAAAAACAGAGTTTATCAACTACATATCTGTATTAAAGGAATTTTAAAGATATCTTTTAGGAAGTTAAAGGTCCTGGGTGGTGCAAATGGTTTGCACTTGCCTAAACTAAGGCAGCAACTCTGCAGAAGTAAGGCCTGGTGATCTGCTTTAGCAACGATTACAACCAAGAAAATCCTATGAATCCTATAACACACAGGGTCACTATGAGTCAGAACTGCCTGGAAGCAATGAGTTTTTCTGTTCAGGAGGAAAATTATCCAGAAAGATAGATCTGAGACTCAAGAAAGATATTCTTTACCACAGAAATGCGTAGCTAGCCAAGCTTATTTTTAGAGAAAGGCTTTTATCCCCAAAGTAAAACTTCTCTGTGGAAAGAGTGCTTGAGTTGCCAAAGAAAGTTCAACTTTAAATTAAGACCAACACACTAACTAGTTTTAAGGCCTTAGACTAGTAGATAAACTTTTCTGCACAAGATTACTTCAAAGATCAAATGAGAGAATTGAAGGAAGCCTGTTTCCTGTCAATAAAATGGTGCTAATATAACATACACTTCAGTGTTCTTTTGATAAATTATAATGGATGTGAATACATTTTGCAAACTAAATTCCAAATAACTATATGCCCTAGGGAGAGAGTTTTATGGGACTTGAGGCTTTTTAGAATTTAGCACCACTCTTTCTGTTGGGAAAGGAGCTTTGGTGGCACAGTACCTAAATCATCTGATTGCTAACCAGAAGGTTGGCAGTTTAAATCCACCAGCCGCTCTGTGGGAGAAAGATGGGGCGATTTACCTCTGTAAAGATTTATTGCCTTGGAAACCCAAAGGTTTCCGACTCCACTGTGAGTCAGAAATCATCTTGACAGTAGTGGGCTTGGGCTTCCTGTTGGGGCAGGGATGGGAGTGTGGTATAGTAGTGGGAGTAGACTGCAAATGGAAGAGACCCTTCAGAAAAAGTTATTATTTTTAAATATTTTGTTGTTTTAGGTGAAAGTTTACACAGAAAATTACCTTCCTATCTATCAGTTTTTGCACAAATGGTTTCATGACATTGGTTACATACTTTCACAGTGTGTCAGTATTCTCACTATTTCCATTCTGTTTGTTTTGTTTCTATTGATTTAGCTTCTCTTTCCCTCTGTGCCTTCTCACCTCTGCTTTTGGGTAAATGTTGACTATTTGGTCTCATACAGTTAATTGTATAAGGAAGCTGTGAAAAAGAGCATGGGGGCAGCATCTGACCTCCTTTAACTTTAAAGGGGGCGAGAGAATCAAGATGAACATCATCAGGAATATGTTGCAACCAAGGCTGATTCCTACAAGGTGGCGTCAGACATGTTGCCATGCTCTAACCCTTTAGTCAACTCAGACACCAACTGTCCCTCCCATACCACTCTCTACTTCTCTGTTGGGTTCAGTAATTCACTGCAATGATGGCACATAACTCACAGACAATACTCACTATTATGGGGATTATTAGAGAAGTAACAGGTTACAACTCAGGATCAGAAACAACTCAGGATACAGTTCTTCAAACAGGACAGCTTCTTCTCAGCCATGCCACAGGCATGCTTCTCTCTGGCCTTGGCCTCTTGCCCTGCTCAGGCCAATATTACAAAGCTCTTTTAGCTCTGCTGATAGGAGGCTAGAGAAGCATCCCACTCTGCCAGCAAGTCTCCTCCCTGAAGGCACTCAGCTTTCTCACACTATGGGCTAGGAAGGCCACCGCTCTGTCTCATGCTGGTCTCTTAGTTCAGCTGCCTTTGTCTCAGCACAGGATGTCGGGTCCAAGCCTGGTCAATCCACCATTAGTTTTCTTGATGGTGGTGAGATCCCTCCTTTCCATCCCTGAGATACCTCAAGTAAAGCCTAGCAAAATGGCAAAACTGACCAATTCCTGTTAGGGAATTCCACACATATTATTTGCATGGTCCCACTCCCACAAGAGTGTCACGTACCTTATTTACATTATTAGTAAGCTATCCAATCCCCTCGGTGAGCACCTTCACATTTACATAGTCCCACCCAGTCATCTGGTGGGGGTCACAAAGGCCACGGCACTGTAAGAACCATACTAAATAATTCACTGCATCACAGGAACATGTTACTCATAGGTGATATTGCTTATTTTATAAGTCAATCTATTATTTGGCTAAAATATGACCTCTACGATTAGCTTCAGTTCAAGTTCAATCTTAGGGTAACATATATGTATTTTTTACGTGGCCCCCAAAATAGTCTAAGATTTTCTCTCCCCTTCCCTCCAGTGCCTGGAAACCAACAAAGTGAGTTTCATTCCCTGAATAAACCTTTCCTTGACTTTTTATAATAATGGGCTCATACAGTTATTTGTCCTTCAGTGATTGACTTATTTCACTCAGCATAATGTCCTCTAAATTCATCCATGTTGTGAGATGATTTATGTATTCTTCATTATTCTTTAATGTTGCATAGTATTCCATTATATGAAGGTACCACAGTTTGGTTATCCAGTCATCTGTTGATGGACATTTAGGTTGTTTTCACTTCTTTGCTACAGTGAATTGTGCTGCAATAAACATGGGAGTGCATATGTCTGTTTGTGTTCTGTCTCTCATCTATTTAGGATATGTTCCTAGTAACTGAATTGCTGGATCAAATGGTATTTCTATTTTCAGTTTTTCAAGGAAATGCCATACCATCTTCCACAATGGTTGTACCATTTTGCAGTCTCACCAGCAGTGTATGAGAGTTCCAATCTCTCTGCAGCCTTGCCAGCATTTGTTACGTTTAGGGTGATACTCTTGGGGGTTCTTCTAGTTTCTATTGGTCCAGCAGCTCTGGCCTTTTTTAGCAACTGAATTTTGTTCTACATTTATCTCTCATTCTATCTGGGACCTACTATTGTGTCCCTGGTCAGAATGGTTGGTAATGATAGCCAAGCACCACCTAGTTCTTCTGGTCTCAGGTTAGAAGAGGCTGTGGTTCATGTGGGCTAGTAGTCCCAAGGACTAGTTTCATCTTTCAGTCTCTGGTTGCCTTCTTTCTCTTTTGCTCCAGAGGAGTAGAGACCAATAGTTGTATCTTAGATGGCTGTTCAGAAGTTTTTAAGACTCTAGACACTACCATCAAACTAGGGTACAGAACATTATCTTTATGAACTGTTATGTCAATTGACTAAGTTGTCCTAGGAGACTATGGTCCTGAGCCTTTTAACCAGTCTTGTGAGTTGTTTGCAGATGTCTAGGAAGTCTCCATAACTCTGCCCTCTTCATGCTTTACTATATATACTGATATATTTGTAGCACACACAAACCTGTATGAACATATGCTTACAGATACACCACGGGGCTCTGGTGGCACAATGCCTAAGACATTGATTACTAACCAGAAAGTTGATGGTTCAAATCCACCAGCCGCTCCACGGAAAGAAGATAGAGCAATCTACTTCCATAAAGATTTACTGCCTTGGAAACCCTTGGAGCTCTGGTGGCATAGTGCCTAAGGCATCTGACTGCTAACCAGACGGCTCCTTGAAAAGAAGACTGGGCAATCTACATCTGTAGAGATACCACCTCAGAAACCCAATGGGGGTTGCTATGAGTTGAAAATGACTGGATGGCAGTAAGCCTTTTTTTTTTTGTTTGACAGATACACTGAAACATGCATATACCTTTCTATACACATAGATGCATACCTACCTACCTACCTGTTACTACACACATATTTTTGGTTATTATTGTTGCTACAAAATTTTATGTTATAGCATTTACTGAAATTGTCTATTTTTCTTGTGTACTTCTCAGTGTCTTCATTTACCTTGTTCAAGTTGTTTACACTTCAACCATATTGGTACTGCCTTTCTCATCACCAAAAATAACAGTGTCTGTTATTTAGAAAGTGATTCCTCCTCCCTTCCCCTCACATCCCTGGTAAACATCAAAGAATGTGCTTTCTGTGTGTATATCTATTCCAGACTTTTTTGAAATAACTGCCTTTTCTTATTAGTCACCAAAAAGGGAAGACATGAATAAATTCAAGTTAGTGCTCTATAAACCTAAATCTTGTTCAAGCCATTGCATGCTCCAAGGTCCTACTGACCTACCTCCCAGAGACCACATCAGCCTTGTAGATCTTTTTTGTTTTTATAGAGGTGACAGGGCACAGACCTGAGAGAAGTTAAAATTTCTCCATAATGGTAATTCTTCCACTTGTAAACCATCTTTAAGTTTCTACAATGGCTCGCAGTTTCATTGGTGAAAAAAGATCATAAGAAGAATATTTTAAGGTTAAATTTTAGGCAAAAAAAACCCAACAAAACAAAATTCTATCTAATCTCAACAGATAAAATAACAA